CCTAGCGTCAGAAGAGAATTTTCTTGTAATATCAAATCGGTTGCATATAAATTAAAAGTTACTGAGCAGAATAGTTATGATATATAACAGCATTATGATAAGATACGACATTTGTCAACAATGTCGTGCATGTTACTGCTTTCTACTGTCTATCTATCATACATTTGTTCTTTTCACTTTCATGTTTATTCTTTAGCTGCTAGAGTGTTGTTTGTTTACTTTTAGCGCAATCAGAGAGTAAACTATATAACGATGAACAATTCATCATTATTCATGAATGTATAGGATAAAATGTACGTGTTATTACGTTACATATAGTATATTTATACTGCATTTACAGTATATACATAGTAATATACATATGTATGAATTTTTAAGTCAGCTTTTATTCTTTTGTCTTTAACCTTTTATTAAATTAATTTGATCTTTTAAATAGAGAAAAATCCTTTTGTCTTTTATCTTTCTCTCTCTTCCTTCCCTGTGCCGTTCTCTATTTCTATAGGAACTAGTTGTTTCTTTAAATTGTGTAAACACTTATTTTACTGATTTCATTTTGCATATACTATTTCACGCATTTGAGATAAGTAGGAAAATACGATTTTAAGAACCATTAAACATTCTAATATTACTCGTAATGATTAAAGATTTACACGTAAACTGTCTCATTAGCGCAGATAATCGGCTTTCGTAGAAATTCTCTACTTAAAAAGTAAGCGAGAAAACAATATGTGTTGAGAAATGTCAAAAAAGAAATTTAATAAAGTCACGTCAGTTAAATAAATCCTTGTTTTATGTATCGTGACACATGTTTACATAACTAAATTATTTATATATATATATATTAGTACAAGTATTTTTACACCATATATATACAGTATATGTATTCTACGCTAAAAGAGTATAATATATAGATATTTATAAATAGATATATACTAAACGGAATATGAAATGTCTATATACCGCTGGAGACATCAAAAGCTAATGCATATGTCTTTTTAATTGTTTTCCGTTTTTCTTATTGTAATATAGAAAACATTGTCTATTGATTTAGCTTGTACAAAACTATTATGAGATATAATAAATGAAGTCTGGTCTATATATAAATTATATATATATATACATACAGTATATCTATATGCAATATTTTCATATATCGTCCCTCTTTTTAACAAGTATCGTATGGTTGTCAATTAAACTCATATCAAACCTACAATTTCGTTTTACTATGCATTATCATTACTATACTTAATTATAATAAAGTGCATAATAATACACACATATTAAAGATAAATATTCTTTTATTGAGTACCCATCATATTCTATCAGCTCATTTCCATACGTAAAAATATGGGCATATTTTACATATTGTTCTTATTTTGCAGTATTGTCTAATAATAATAATGCTTAATATACATATATTTAAGTATAAAGACGATGTATCTATTCAACGTATATACCAGTATACAGATACATATATACTATTTATATACTTCGCAATCACCAAGTCCAATAGACTATTGTTCAAGACAAAGTCAAGGAAGCCGAATCAAGTATTGAACATGATACAATACAATCATAACTAAACAAGTTGTAATTGAAGTAAAGACGATTTATTGATAAAAATATAAAGAACAATGGTATTTGAAGAAAATGTTCAGGGCGTTCAACTAATTATTAACTTGATAAGATTATCTAGAACACAATGTCTGATAAATTTGCACAGTTATTATATGAAACTATAATACTTCAGAAGGAATTTTTTTACATTCATATACGTTGACTTGTTTTCTTCTACAATGTTCAATAAGGCTTTTCAAAAGCATTAGTCAGCGGAAATTGCCGTTGAGTGTTCATCAATAGCCTCACTAATGTACGTTACTAAGAAGGTACAAGAACAAAGTACTGATATAAAAACCTATATACGGACTAATCCTATTTCATATTTTACAATAAGGTATTTTGATATCAAGGCCAAATTATGCTAAAATTTCTCTTATGTATTCTTTTTACACATTAAATTACCTTTAAAGATGATCTCTTTATTTATTTATCCTTTTTTTATCCTTTGTTCTTTATTATTTAACCTTTTAATACTTAATTGCCTATTAATAATAATCCACTAACTAACCGAATAATCATACTTCATCAAATTTACCATCTTCTGTATAACAACTATAACGTCATTTACCTTGTAATAGTAATAATAATAATAAATCTTTTCTATGGGTTCCTTTTCTTTCTTCCTCTGCCTGTCTGTCTGTCTCTGTCTGTCTCTTTCTCTTTCGCTCGCTCTCTTCCTTTCTTGTCTAGTTACCAAGATAATTCATTATTATCATAAAATCATTATTTTTTCATATTTTCTTACCTTTTAATGAATTTTTTCGTTGCTAATTTCTCCACGATTCCAAGAATCTATATTCTATGATTTCATCTGGTGTCTACAAATTCTGTACGATTCTTTATAGACTTTACAGAACTGATATTCCCGTTTACTTTTCTAAAAAAAAAACATGCTTTTATTGCTTTTTTCTCCACTTCCAACACTCCCATAACCAATCAACTTCTCTTTAGGTAAACAACACACTGGGAAAATGGTACGCCATCTATCGTGTTTCTTACCGTTCATTCAACTATTTGGCTGCAGTTCAAGTTCCTGACAACAATTTCGTCGTAGTTTAATTACTGGGAAGAAAAGTCTGCACAATTAATTAAGCGAGTATAATTGAAAAGATAGAGGAACAGGCACGAATGCGTTCGTAGCGCCATCTACCGAATAACCTTTTAACATTATCAAAATATTCTTTTATTCAAAAAAGAGTAAAAGGGGACAAAATCTAATTGCAACTACTCAACAGCTAAAGCTCATATACCAAAACGTACTAAGCGCGTTTTTCATGTAACAAAACCGGCTTCCCATTCTTTCCATTCTCCAATCCAACAGAAGGAAGCCGTAGAAAACTGCTCGTGCTCACTGCTGGGTGTCCGCTCAGAGTAACGCTTTTTGCGGGCGTCTCTCCAAAATAATTAGACGCCCTAAAGCAGTTATTATACTTATAAAGATACTAAATATGAATTAGATTCTTCCTGAAAGAATATCAAGCTCAAGTTTGTTAAAATATAAAGTAAAAATTAAATAAAAGGAAAACTTTTGATCTTTGCACATACTGTAATTTATTTATCACCTCAAATAGCAGTAAATTGCATTCGTTTTAATGATTAAACTCTTCAGATTCTCCTTTTAACTAATAATCACTTACCACAACAATAATAGAATAGAACAATTTGACAAATCGGCCGACAAAAACTTCTCAATATAGACACATAATCATTACGGCATAAGAGACTGTAGAGGCTACTTTGATTTGAATATGTATAAATATATATTCTAATATATATGTTATGTACTGTATTATATATACGTATACATATATATGAACGCTTTATATTGTTTTATATAAGTTTAGTTAATAAAATGTCTTCCCTTTTGCAACGGAGAACAATATTTGTCTCTCTAAAAGAAAAGAGTTGTGTACTTTATGTCTGTAGACCTTAATTCGCTAACTGAAATAGATCAACTTGATTTTATTTATAGATTTATTTATATAAAATTGTATGCGCTGAAAGAATAAAGAGAAAAAAAAACCATAGAAACCTGTATAAAATTCACAGCATGGTCATTGAAATACTCATATAAAACTATACAAATGCATGTAGATACACAGTATATATATATATATATATATATATATATATATATATATACGTGTGTGCGTGAAGAGAGAGGAAGAGAGATAGAAAGCAAGAGGCGATCGGCGGCAAGAATTTATATTATAGAGCAAAAAAAAACAGACAAATGAGTAACGAAATTGAAATATTATAGTTTGTTAGCGAACCAAAGGCTTTGCTTAAAAATGAGTTGTCGAAATCCCCCATCTGTTTTTTAAAAGCTTCGCCCCTACTGTATCAAGCAGCTCACGGAAATGAGAGTGGATTTTGTAAGGTCGCTAGTAGCCAGTCGCGAAATGAGGGAAGACCTATGATAGGAGTAGATTAGTCATCGAGTTGAACGTGTGCGTGTAGCTTTCTACATCAATTTTTTTTATTGACGAAACTTTATTGTATTCGCACCATTTGACAGAATATTTTCTTATTGTTACCTTATTTGATAATATTCGTTTTCACGTAGAAACACACCTACCTAACTTTATCGCCTAATAAGATTAATATAGGATTATTATTGAAAGGTGAAAGGCATTTTACGAGGATTTTTCTATTATAAAGTCAATCCCTGCGTTATTCAAAAATGATGTATAAACTTATATATTATGAAAAGATGCCTAGTCTGTTTGGCGTAATAAAGAGACGCTTTTTAAATAAAAACAGTATAGTTTATAGTTTATTGAATTGATTAAAGTGAAATTGAGAAAACGACTTTCTTGTTGTTCTTCTTCTCCTTATTCCTATTCTTATTCTTATTCTTATTCTTTTTCTTGGTAAATCTTTTTACTTAAATCTCGTTTCTATAAAAGGTAATACAAGGTTTTTTTTTCTTGATTAAGTAAAGCTGTACCTGTGTACAATAAACAAGTAAAAAGTAATGAGATCCCGCACCAAATACACTCAAACGGTTTTGAGAGCGCGACTTTTGAGAACAACGTTCGGCTATATCTGAAGAAGTTCAAAGGGACTATGAGTAAAAAAACTTTCACTTTTGTTAAACTCCTTCTACTTGTTAATAAACTTACTAATTATATAATTAGGAATCTTCGGTTAGTGTAGTATCATTCCAATCTATTCCTTCGACAGCTAAACATGTACGGACACGGATTTATTGGTAAAGTACCTTATTTACTCTATTCTTTATTTTTTCGTAAAAGAGATTTTAATACATTCTCTTATACTATTCGATCTTAATATTTCGTCGTAGTAACCTAGTAATGATAAAGAAAGAAGATTATAATATGCGCCGTTTTCTTCCTTTTTCTCCGAACTTTAAGGTTCAATAAAGAGGGAAAAGAGAATAAATGACTAAATGATAAATAGATTTTTTTCTAAATATAGGACTAATTAATTTGTGGGTAAAAAACTGTTAGAACATCATTCTCGTCGATTGCACCTGTAGATGAGATCTGCTTATTGGAAGACTTAGAAATTCTGCTGTTTTCTCGCTTAGATTTTTGTGCCATATCCGACTATCTGACTGTAGACATTTTATCAAACATACGCTTTTTTAAGTCATAGTTGAGGAATTTTGTTAAAAAATAGAAGATAGAGTCTGTATATAATTTTTTTTTGAAGAAAAAATAGCATAACAAGAGATGTTTTGCGCGCAAAAAAACTAGCAAAAAGCGCCACCTGACGGTAGGGAAAATATCAACAATGTTTGTCAGTTTGCAAAATCACATTAGTGGCGTCATGCAGCAGCAAAACGCGTCCGCATATTCTTTTAATTTGTTAGAACAGCAACAACAGCAGCAACAAAGTTAGACGCATCAAGAATAAATTAAGTAGACACTTATCTCATTAGTTTTATCTTATTTATTAACAGCGTTCGACTGTGCTCATTCGCCTTACGGAAGTCAACCAGCATCTTCTCCCTTCTACCAGAATTCTGTTAGAGCAGCGTCTAATTTCGCCCAAGAAACTCAGCAGTCAACATTGAAAAGGAAGCAACGCCGCTATCGTACAACTTTTAGTTCTTATCAGTTAGATGAATTGGAGAAAGCATTCCAGAAAACACACTATCCGGATGTATTTTGTAGAGAAGAATTGGCTTTGAGAATCGACTTAACAGAAGCAAGAGTACAGGTATTTTCAAACAATTGCTTTAAAAGATAAAGATCTCAAATGCGTCGCGCTATCAATATTTATAATCTACATATTCGTATATAAGATATATATATATATATTATTGTTTTAAGGTGTGGTTTCAAAATCGAAGAGCCAAATGGAGAAAACAACAAAAACAACTTCAATCCAACGCAAAGGAAGCAGTTGAACATAGTAAGTGTTGATAGTACAGATTGCGCGGACATTTTTTTGTGTTTAAAATTCTTTATTATCATTTTCTTATTTTAACAGCATTAAATCCATCTACAGTTTCTAATTCTTCACATTCCGTTAACCCACCAGTTAATACGATCGGAAATTTACCGAATATGAGTGCTATTACGTAAGTAACCATACTTATTTAATTAATCATAACGATTATAATTAATTAATTATTTTTTATAATAAAAAGCAGAGGTATGGCAATTCCTGGGATGTATTTACCTGGAAATATCTCATGGCATTCAGGACAACCGACTTTTCCTCAATGTACGGCAGTTTCCTCTCATTATTTAACAAACCAAAACGGTACAGTGGCGTCATCTGATGGTCATGGAGAAGATTTGAGATTAAGCAAGCCGACTGCTAACTCGCCTATGATGAACCTGGTGAATAATTAACCGTTAATTATTATTTGTATTATTATTAATATGATAATTTATGATATTAATATGAAAAAACATGTGTAAAAAATGTAAAATGTCATTTGTCGATGTAAAAAATGTTAAATGTTGAATTTTTCTTTATAAACAAATCATTTCCCTCTTTGTTATATTTTTTCTTTTTTGCTCCTTTTTACAATCCACCACAAGTTTCTCAATCAATGGTCGTAACTACTGCTTTCCTCTCTTCATCTCTGCTCAACCTCCACTTCGTCTCTCCATCCTATTCAAATATATATATATATATATATATATATACTATATATTCTACTTTTTTTGATGGATTATCTCGGATTACACGACTTCACTCATCACCTACTTTTCTAAAAATCCTTAATCGTTCGCTTCTTATAAGGAAGATGGCGCTGCTAGAAATCTTATTTTCAATCACTTTAATTAAATGTCACGTATGTTGTACTTCCGGTATAGACCACTTGTTTTACTTCATGTGAGATCTACCTAATTAACCTAGCAGTAAGATATTTAGCTTATATTTGATTCCTGTAAACAATCAATAATTCATTAGGAAAGGTGTAAAACTTCTTTATGTATATATATATATATATATATATACTGTATATATATTAAACAAGAGAGAGGTGGTTTAATTAAATGATTCCCTTCTGCTTGGAAGTTGGACAGGTTAGTTAGAAACTTAGGTGTTCTTGAATTGTAAACTATACCATATGTCATTCTATTATTATTGTTTACATTTTACCTAATTCTCTTTTTAAATCAGCTGATAAGTTGACAATGTATAAGAGAATAAAGAAAACTTTACATCAACATAAACGTGTACAGTATCAAAGTTTCGTTTTCTCACGTAAAATATGACGCCCCTTTAAATCTCATTAATATTGTTTATCGTCGACGTACGAAGAAACGACATTAAAATATTAAAGGATCGTCTATATCTAGATGAGATTTATTTCGGTTAGAAGGATGCTTGTGTTTGACGGACTTGCATCATTCGACAGGATTGAGTGCCTTATTGACGTAGTAGCTGCTGGATTTGAATAGTTATGAGTATATAATTGAAGTAGTATTATAGAGAGAATAACAATCGAAGCTGGTAGAGACACTATAAGACTAAAAATTTTCCAAGTTGAGTCTTTTTGATCAGACCTTAGCGTTGTAAGCTCTTCCAGAAGCGGAGAAGAATTACAAAAATCGAATTGGCAACAATAAATGAGGGAATAAGAGCAAAAGCTTTCGCCTTCTTCCACACAACCCCTCTCAACAGTTGATACCGTCAGGCCACTATCATTCGTATCTGTCAAGATCCTTGCATAACATTTATCATCACTTTTACAAGTAATATTGCCACGAGAGCAGTTGAGAGTGTTGCAATTGCAAATTAATCCTTTACCTGTTGGACAAAATAAACAGAGGAAACAGTAATTAATGACAGGAAAGGTATTAATAGTAATAGTATTTATCCTTCATCGCTGTTTAACACCTATAAAACGTTTGTTTGTTTTTCCCTCATCTTTATTAAGTATATTTATTCATATTTCTACTAAAAATTACTTTACCTGCAGTCGTAGTTGTTTTGAAAAATGCCAAGAACGTTATAAATATGACAATAATCTTCAGAGACATCAATGCATGCTATATCAAAATAATGAAGTTATGAAATGAGAAAAAAATTTTTGATTAAAGCTCTACCTGTTGGAGTTCTAATAAACTAAGTGCAGTCATATGAGATGTGTGAGTGTGTGTGTGTTTTTTTTTTTAAGTTTTCCCAATGAAAAGTCTATATAAGGAAATATTTTGATGTAGCGTTAACTTAGAATTTAATTATCAATTACTAATCAGGTCTCCAATAACTTTCTATTGAATGACGTATGCAGCTATTTTTAGGTGTGTTTTCCTCTCTTTCTACCATATTCTGTTTGCATTGTCAACCTTGTATGTTGATTATCTGGAAAGGTACAAGCACTAGTTTCGTAACAGAAGACGTGGAGACGGAAAGTAGATGAAATTTCTATTTCCTCTGCTATCCGATAGATGGCGAAAAGTATGTCGTTGTACAACAATTCTTCTTTCCAATCTGTTAGTAATTTATAAGAAAAGGAAGATATACTCCAAAAGTTAGTAAAAGTATAGTTTAATTGAAAAATTCTCCTGGAATTTCATACAAGAAAATTAGTTCTCATCAGTAAGAAAATCATCTAGAGAAAAGGGTGTTGAGCGTCAAAGGTCAACAATCGCTTAGCGCTTAATCAAGTTAGCGTTTAAAGGGGGCGACGAAAAGCGCAAGTTTTCCAAAAATAAAGATAAATTGCAGCGGGCAGCTGCAAGCACTTAATCATTTTGCCTGTCATCGTCTAATTTTTATCGTAAATTTTTCTTAAAAACACTGAAAAGTAGCTGATTTTTTTTATTTATCTTAATTAAAAAATCGAAAGAAAGATTGTTTTTTTTTCAACTGAATTGAATTTTTTTACTTGAATACGAATGTTGCAAAAGTAATAAAACGAATTCATTGTTTATATATAAACAGTTTATAGTTGTATTTTTATAAATATATATAGCCGTTCAATAAAAAATAAAGAGAAAAAAGAATCTGTTCATTCCTTAATCATTCATAATTCATAAGGTATTTTAGGGATGACAAAGTTGCTTCGGTTTATTTAAGGAACAATCTATCAAATTTGAAAAGATAAACGTTTTTGAAAGACTAATTTGCATATTTCTTTCGACTCATTTCAAACACAAGAGAGTTATTGTCCATTTTCAATTTTCTCAATATTTTCCCCTAGCCCTGGGTTATAACCATTTATTGCCCCTAATAAACTAAGAGAAGTATTTTATTGGTCTACAATTATTTTATATTACAGTCGATTTGCATAACGGTCGAAAAGGGAGAGTTGATGCGCTTTCGAACTTACGCAATTATGATAAACGAGCTGTCTATTCGTTACGATTTTCTTAAATCAGATTGAATTTACACGTGGCAGCCATCATAACGTTGTAATTAGCTCTAATGAAATTGTTTAAGACTCTTTCGACTGTAGAAACTTGTAAATTGGTCGTAAAACTACCAAAACATTTCCCTCTCCTTCTTAACTTTTATAGCTTTATAATGTAAATTTTTTTCTTTTAGGCTACAAAATTTTCTTTCCTAATTCCTTTCTCTAAGATTAGAAAGATTAAATATTTCCACTTGTTAATAAAGAGAAATGAATATTCGCCTTTAGGATAAGCTAGAAGAGAAAAAGAGCAAGTTTAATAACTGATAATATCAGCTAAGCTTTTACCATTTTAACCAATTAATTGATTATTTAATATAGTATATTTTTCTATTATCGCCAAATGATAAAACGTATATATGTCATTAAAGTGATAATAACAATTATAGAATAAATAATTAATTGTCAATCTCTTTTCGCACTCTAACTATGGAATGAATTCTCTTAATTGAATTGGGTTAAACGGGTTGCTAGTAAAAACTAATTTAGCAGTAGGAGAGTAAACAAAAAGCCGAAAATGAGGACAGATGCGAAAACTTTCAACCGATAAAGCTCACATTGTGAATGGCAAATAGTCTTGCTACTATCAATCACCGGAATTTTGACGGCCCAGCACAAATGCTCTTTGAAATTCACGAGGAGCGCGTGTCTTCCTTGGTGGTCGGAACTATCTTACATGTATACTTTTTTTCCCTAAGTTTTTAATTCTCTTCATTCTCTTCAAAAGAAATTTTTAAAAGAAGAAAAAAAACAACAAAGTTGGAATCTACACGTTAGCGACATAATAGGCAGAACAATGGGGGATAGGAGAAGGAAAGACGATAGACGGATAGATTGACAAAAAGGATAATATAGAGAGGGAGGATAATAATAAAAGATTTCAGCATCTCCCTAATGAGTACTAATTAGAGATAAAGTGTTATTGTGGGACGGACAGGAAAATAAGCTGATTGACGTTGGCTTTAACGCTCATGGGACCGATAAGAGAACGACAATGAGCTTTGTGGTGTAGAAAGAGTCATATAGTAATAAAGTAAAAAAGAAAAACTCGTTGATTTTTCAAGTATCATCTTAAAGAATTCTAGACTGAATGCGTGTCAAAGAGTTAATAATAAAAAATAGTTTCGGCCTCATTAATTGCAACCCAATTCATTATATATTGAATCGTCAGGTCGTTTCGATTCAACTAAATTGCGTACTTTTACTATCAGGCAATTTTAATACGGCACGCAAAATGGTCGTCTGTTTAATTAGATTTTATTCATGCAAGATAAACTGGGCGCCAGTCTAAGCTATCCAACATTTTGTACTATTCAATTAACGCTTTCTAACTATTTAATAGTCTTAGTACGTATCTGTGGTCTTTTTGTTGTGTAGAAGAGCGACCAACCGTAAACAATCTCATCAGGAAAACTGCTACTGCATTAGCGAGATAAGACAAACTATAGCACCGTCCGTTAATACGACTTGCAAACACGGTATTAAGCGTCATCTATTTTCCGCAAGTGCAAATTGAAAAATCGCTGGTGGCAGTTGAGACATACTAAATTCTATGAACCTTTTCTCATTCTCTAGTATTAATAACAAATACATCTCATCTTCTTTCACTAGTGCGTAATTAGGCTCACTTAATACCTCTCTCTTTCTCTCGTTCTTTCTTTCTCTCTCTCTCTCTCTTTCTTCTTTTCCCTTGCTCCAGTTTTGTATACATTCTGATTGTCGGTATGTGTTTGCCCTTTAAACTCACAGAGTTCGGATAGAAAAACTAACAAATCTATAAAATATACTGAACAAAAATTGCACGCTATTTATTACAATTTGTATGTTGGAGAAGAAGAATAAGAAGTACAAGACGAACAAGAACAAGAACAAGAACAAGCAGAGAGCGAGGAACAAAAAAGCAAATGATGAAAATGCTTAAAAAGTTTTATCTATAATTTGTGAATTATGTATAACGTTTGATGAATAAATTCTATCTTATCCTTTTTATATACACTCTTATCCTTCTATATGTTTTTATCTCACGTAAAAGACATACTTACAGAGATTATGATATATATAGCTTTTTATAAAAACTCTCTTACAAGTTATTAAGACTCTTCGACGTCTCTTTATCACGAAAGTAATAGCTGTTTCATAATTTTTCAAATTCCATAATTTAGCAGTCAAAAAGCAAAAAGGCCTAGCGAATTTCTGTCATTCGCACCAATACTTAATAATTAGACTTATACAATCGCAACAAAGCTGACACAATCTTTAGAAAAAAGTTTAAAGTGAAAAAGTAAGAGCTATTTATAAATATATGTATATATATAGATATATATACTGTATACTCTATACGTTTATATCTAAAAAGAAAAACCATAATAGTATCAATATCCGGTGAATTATACGAGTGAATAGGGTATAAGTATAAAAAAAAGAGCATTAGAAAACAGTCAACAATTATTATAATACACTTTATTATCATTAAAGAAACGTAATTTTAACTCGACTTCTATTGAATAGAATTCCTTCAAGTAGAAATAACACTGTTGTTTCTTTTAGGTATAAATTACATCATGTATTTATAGATTGCATAAACATCAACAGTACGCTTCCATCTCCTTCAAACTCTTCTTCTATTGTATATACACGTTTACAGTTTACATTTGCATTGGTCTAATTTGGCCTAAAGCTAAATTGGTAAAAAAGACATATGCCTTAACACTACAACCTCTCTTTTAGGCCAATTTTAAAGGGTCTAAAATCACACAAGTATTCTATTCTATGGCATTACGTAAGCAGTCAAAATGAATAATGGACTATTCCTAAATAGAAGCTTCTCTATTCATGATCCGCGTTATGAATCTTCCAAGTACCTTTCGATTTTTGCACGTGCAAATTCCCAATAGTAAAATTTTCAATAAAATATACGAAATTCGATTTTTATGATTCCACGCCCTCCGGCTTTTCATACAAATTATACCGATTTCGACTTTTAATTATGCTCGCGACATCAAAGACGGTATGATGGTGGAAATTTTACGCAGGGTTTGTGTGGTCTATGATAGGCGTGTTTCGATTTGCATAAGTTGAAAAACTCGTCGGTATCATCAACTCCTTATGATGTGACACTTTCTACCCGCCCATCGCTTGTTAGGCGACCATTTTTTATAAGAAAAATCGTCTTATAACTTTTAAATAACCCCCTCTTCTTTTTTAACTTTTAAATTATAAATGATGTTTATTATGCATTGTGTTACGCATTTGACAATAAAGAAAACTGTAGTCAACTAACCTAAACATACACCGCTCTAATGCGTGAAAGTGAATAGAGAGCACGAACAATATTTCTTCGCATTCATTTCTTAATAAAAAAATACCCCTTTCATTGCTTTTCAGAGCAAGGAATATTTTTTAATTTATGTCTTTCTTAACCCTAATAAAAATAAAAATGGAATAGGGAAAGAGGAAGACACGGAGGTCGAAGATGATATATTTATATATGTGCGTGTGTGTTCAGAGGGAGAGAGAGAGGGGGAAGGGCGGAGGGGGGAGAACAAGAGCTGAAAGACACGAAGAAACCATATATAAAGGGGAATAATTAGAAATAAGTAGCAACTGCATAAAAGTTAGTAAATAATGACCAATGGCCGTAAGATAACACGTTTTTTATCTGTAAACTAATATTAATTCGTATCGGATCAAAGTTATTCTGAAACAATATCGTCTACCGTCAATCTCTTTTAAAACCCGATAATTATGCCAATCATGTTGTTAAACTCCGCCTACCGAAAGCTGATTGGCCGGGCTGACGTTTCGTCTTCTTAACAATTAACGCCAGTTGAAGCATTTTTCAACAAGTCGCTTTGTATGCACCGTGTAGCTATGGCTCTAAAAACGGATTATGAAAGCGATAATGAAATTATTAACGTTGAAGATGACGATGGTCCAAAAACAAATACTTTTACAAGATTTTTTATTGAAGATATTCTATCATCCAATTTTGGTCGAATCGAGGAAAAGTCAGACACCGAATCTACATCATCAGCGTCTAGTACAACTTCGGGAAGAAAGACAGAAAATCAGAAACCCGCTGAAAATATGATCTGGCCTGCTTGGGTATATTGTACAAGGTATTCGGATAGACCATCATCAGGTATATATATTCATGAAATGAATATTATTTCTCTACGATATACCTTCATACATTATTCAATAGTAAAAATTAAAAATGAGCTATTTAGCTACATTAATGCATTATTTAAAAATTTATTATTAAGTATAACCTAATTAACAATAAAATAAGAGAAAAGGCAACCAAAGAGAAAGAGAGAGAGAGAGAGAAAGAAAGATAAAGCAAGAAAGAAAGCAATGTGATAATAAATTAAGCAATGAATATTTTGCGGTTAAGAATGTTTATTTTTTTCACTTTCTTGTATAAATATCAATTAAAACTTCTCTCTAAACTATTTATCATTATTTAGGCCTTAAACACCTTTCTAATTAGAACATTATGATAAAATTATAAGTAATGGAAAAATGGGTCAACGAATCAGAATATTCATATGGGCTATACATTCATTTAAATCAACGGTAACGGTTGTCCTAATTATTATACCTTACCTTACAAACGTTGAAACTAATTTTCGTTTTATTTAAAACAATCTTACGTAATTTATGAACGGAAGAAATTTTTCCCATTTAGATAATTGATATAAATTTATTATCGAATTCGTGTTTTAACACGGGTGAAATATTTACGTATTTTTAGATGGGGTAACGTGTATTGCATTACGAAGAAATGCGTGTTTGTCATAGTTTGTACAATGACTTCAAAAGCCTTAAACTAATTGCTACACATTCTTAGGTGATATATAATTCATGGCTGTTTCTTCAAAGAACCCTTTCATTTCGTTGTTATTTGGGTCAAGTTTGCAATTGAATTATAAAATAATTCTCGGCCGGTTCGTCGAATTTAGTCAGAATTTTCTGACCCGGTTTAATTGCTTTCTAACTTAACATGAGAGCGGTTATGTACACTACCATGAAATAATAACTTTATTGTTATTCTCATCTTTCTCCTATTCAATGTACAAAAGTGAAGAAGGGGTGCGAATTTCTCCTTCGCTGACTCTCTGCTCTTAACGGAATAGATATCTAGGTTAACGAATAAGGGAGGGGAGTTGAGAGGATTTCCGATTCTCTTTTAAAAGCAATTAAAATATAGGTTGGTAACGAAAAAAATTCCATGTTTATTAAAATATGGAAGAAATATGAAAAATATTCAAGAAAATAATGTCAAGCGTTCATTTTAAAATAAGAAAGTATAGGTTGTGAGCTGAGTGTCGTAAGAGCATAGTTTATATATTAACATGTCGACGTTACCCAGTGAAAACTTATTAAATAGTCATTTTTCAAAGCTACGTCACAAGCACTTGTACATAATGCTGATGACAGACACACGACTTTATAGTGAATACTTCGTAAAAAGGTGCTGCTATATATATGTCACGCATGCGCAGTATATCTTTCAATGAATAAATGATAATTGAACCGTAATTATTTTATTTTTAGGGCCCCGATGCAGACGTTCAAAAAAGAAAAAAGAGAAGGAACCCGTTGAAGTACCGACTGCTGCCGTTACTTCAGTCGAGAAGCGACCGAGAACTGCTTTTACAAGTGAACAATTGCAAAGATTAAAGGAAGAATTTGAACAATCAAGATATTTAACGGAACAACGAAGGGCTAATTTAGCTCAGCAGTTGGGATTAAATGAAGCACAAATTAAAATCTGGTTCCAGGTAAATTGCAGTTTTTTCTATTGTTAAACTATAGTCATAATGATAAAAATAATAGAAATATTAAAAGTATTTAATGTTAATTACGTTCATTTTTTTGTTTTGCAGAATAAAAGAGCCAAATTGAAAAAGTCAACAGGATCTAGGAATCCGTTAGCACTCCACCTGATGGCTCAAGGACTGTATAATCATCAAACAATACCTGCAAAGGAAAATGGCGGTGCCGAAAATTAATTACTCTGAAATATAGCTTCTACTTCCCAGAGAAAGAAACGTAGATTATGTGCTTATCTTTACGATTAAATGTAAAAGAAAAGAGACAAGACAGTTGTTATGAGCGAATATTCTTCTTCTTTATATAAATTAATATACGCATATACATGTACAGTACTTACGTATATCTTTGATGAATAAATAAAGAATATAATAAAAATGTTTTATCTAAGAAAATTCACTTTGAGATTTCAACAATAAGAGTTTTTTAAGCGTTAAAAAAGAGAAAAAATGAATAATTCATTGGGAAATGGGTTGATAGAATGTAGGTGAGGAGATGATAGACGAAAAGAATAAGGTACCTTTTAATGCGACTTATTGGTGCTACATTTAAATAATGTTTTAAAATGGTCTTTTTAGAGGCTATACTTATGGCTTTTAAAGCCTTAAGGTTTCTATTTAAATAAGAACAGATAAACATCCTCTTACGGCATAATTATATAGAACACTTTCTTTCAAAAACATCATGCTTAAAAACTAAAAACAGGCCAGGAAAAAAGTCTCAAGATCAAAGTCAAAGGTGCCGCCCCTTTGAAGAAAAAATAATTACAAAGCACCCTAGTCGTTTAATTCAATTTAACTCGCGCCCGCCACAAAATTGAAAAGCGAACAAAACGGCGAAAAAGTTAGAAAAACGACCCTTTGATCCTTACCGCCATGCGGGTCGGTCACGTGACCGAATGTAGAGTAAATCACGGTGAGCGAGATAAGAGCGGATAAGGCGGACAGTTTTCGCGTCGCTTGTCAAAGCGTTTTATTATCTTTAACGGGGTCGTGTTGTTCGATAAGAGATAATGAGTTTTTTAAACTCTTTTTTTTCAAGATAATAATTACATAGTCGACCGGAACGCCGAATTCCAGACTTTAAACCAGTTTAACTCCTACCATCATTTATATCGAACAAACGGAGTTTATCAAGGTTTTCTTTCTTAAATGATAAACCAGTTGTTGAGGGATGTAATTCGTAATTGGTTTTCTTGATAGAATTGAGTTATTCTCCCCTCTCCATCTCTCATGTTCGCTCACGCACTTTTCTATATAAAAACATCCCGAAACAACTTTTTCCTGTCGTCTATATGATATTCATTTTCCGGGCACTTTATTAGGATAATGCTAGACAAGTATAATATAAGATAGTGGAATAATTATTAATCAGATTCATCGAACATTTTAATAGGTGAAATGTTTAGAAATTGGATACTGTTTTTCTGCTGATAATCTTAATTGGGTTAGGGCGTGTGATCTGTTGCACGTTTGTCGTTGTTTATTAGACAGACGGATTAAGTATGCATGCAAAATTTACCAAACAAATTGCATGCGTACGTCTAACTGACGTTTGTTCTTCGAATGGATGCTGTAAAGAATAAAGAGGAAATAGGTAAAGAAGAAGGAAAGAAAATTAAACATTTTCATTCTTAGATTGATGGTTCAAATCATTCTAAACATTTGACCCTTCTTAATGGAGCAATGGAAGAGTCTAATGCAACACATAACAGCTCCTTTTTTCCCTTCACTTCGTTTAGCTCTCTAGTAGAATAATCAATCAAAAGTTTTATAAAAGAAATCATTATTTTCCACCTAGTTCTATATGCGAAAAAACCAATTACCCTTAGTGTTGGTGGTATAGAGCGAAAACCGGAAACAAAAGTACATTGGGGTATAGGGAAGAAAGAAGACATTTCTAGTTATATATAGATGTATGGATCTTTAAAGAGAGAAAAAAATCAAATAAAAACAAGCTAAAACATAAATCTTTCTTCAAGATAGCACTCGTATAAACCTTTTTAAGCTGTCATACCAAATAAAAACGTTGCTTATTTTCAAAAGAACTTTTCAAGTGTGTATTAAATTAAACGTTGACGTGAATACCATGATCGGCTACTATATGCGCAACTATGAGATATGCATCAATTATTTTATATGGCATTTATTACAACTGAAAAAAAATATCCCAATTACAGACAAGCCGAGATAATTATCAATTTGATCTTAATCGCTTTAACAATTATAGTAATTAATATTATTAGTTAATTATCTTTACGTCATTTTGTTCACTTCTTTACTTGGCTGTAAATAATATTAACAAAAAGTCATCAAGGCAGATGTGAAACTTTAATGTCAACTTTTAATTTCAACGCTATTTCGATACAGTATATGACCCTGTGTGTATAAATGAGAAGGTATTGTTAATACATGTCAAAAGGCGATGCCAAAGGGCTCATCAATGATAGTAGAGGGCGTAGCTTGCCGTCCTTAATTTATATTTTTTGACCGTGGGATAATTGGTTATTTCTATGTATAAAATCGTTTGTAGCCATACGCTTCAATCTACTTAAAAAAGATGGCGAAAGATCGATTGACCGACATTGAAAGAGAGTGGGGGATAGTTAGATGCAACGTATAAATACACATTATATATACATAAGTATATGTTCGTGTATCGGTGTATAAGGTAGCAACGAGAGAGAACAAAAAACGCCGCGCTTAGGTTACTTAACCTTACCATTAAGTAAATTGAGCTAAAAGCTATTGGTCGCCTTTTTACTGTCAATGTTACAAACATAACGCAACAATATGATTTCTCTATTTAAAAAAATGGTCAATATTTTCTAATATAGATAAATAAACTATAAAACTTGAACTTTACAGTGAATATGCTTTATTATCAAACCTATATACAGTATATACCAGTATATACTGTATAAATTCATTTATTAGCGTCTTTTGACGAATTAACAAACATTTTTCCATACATTTTTGTTTCCTTTGTCGGCATAATTAGTGGCATCAGTCTATTTGCAATTCGACATTTATAATGACTACACCTGGTGCTTGCGCCTCATATTAAAAGGTTTTTTGAATATATATATATATATATATATATATATATATATACACGTGTATTTACTCTACTACTCATTTACTGAGAGTGAATAAGGAGGACAAATGCTTTCGTTCTCTAATGATTATAATGATTCGCTAAGCGGAGTGGTAATAATAAGTGAATGAACCCATTAGAATCGCCTTCATCATTCTCTTTTTCCATTCGTGACAATTGTATGAGACGTGAAAGACGGATAGCCGTTTCTAATTAGGGTTCTTTCCCTAATCAGTTAATTGCTCTGCCAGACCGTACATCACTTGCTCTTTTGTCCAAATAGTCGAGTTGTGCTCAGTTATTGTAAACGATTAATGAAAAAGGGATAGAGAGAGAGAGAGAGAGTGAAAAAGGCAAGAATAAAAATCGTTTAAATGTTCGTATTCTTTAATAAAATATTTTCTTTAATAATCTTTTTTTAAGAGCCTTCTGAAAGACATAAAAAGTTAAAACTTCCCGTCCTTTTCTTTCTTATTTTCTTTTTTTATTCTTTCTGCGATGGGTGAATGAAAATTTCTATCTCTTTATGAAAAGGTTCTTTTTACAGAGTGTAGGGGGGGTTGCGGGGGCAAGGGCGGTTGGGGAAGGGTAACGTATAAGAGAAAAAGACTGCCATCTAGAGTCGATGTCGAAAATTAAATTCTAAAACTTCCATTACCCATTTATGGTCTTGTAATAGATGGAAATATAATGGGATAAGTTAATTTACATCACACCGCTACTTTTCCTCTTTTTATGCAAAACTTATAGATTATTATAATTATTTCCATTTTATATAAAAATATGATGAAAAACCTAGAAGTATGAAGAGAAAGAGAGAGGGGAGAGAGAGTTAAAGAAAAAAGAATAAAATTGATATAGAAACTATAAACAATTGTCAGTATTTGTTTGTTATTATTTGTAATTTACTATAATAATGTAATAAAGTTTTAGTGGATGTAAAGCTTTTATTTGACCAGCCAACATATGACTTTAAATGCCATAAAACTTTATTACCATGTAGCTTTTGAAATTTTATTGAATAATCGCTATTCAATTGAATTTCATTTTGAAAAGGATAAATGAGAGAGTTACTCATACGGGGATTGGAAAATTTGCTCTCTAATTGTACAGGATAAGATGAACTGTGTAACGTAAATTTATTTGTAGATGTTTATACAAGGTAACGGAATAAAAAATTGGAATAATCTTATCCGTATGTTATTATTGTGGGTGTATAAGGTTCGTGTTTCGCCCTTTCATATTCCTCTTATTTCTATCCCAAGGCTATTGATTTTTTATGAAAGAAGGAAATAAAAAGGCCTAAGTTGGACCCATTTCCTCCGAAACCCTTAAATAGTATAAATTTTCTGAGTGAAAAACTACTGACTATTCATAACCAGGCATTGCCGACCGATCCTCCCAACTTTCTATAACTTTACTTAGCCTTCAGGCTCTAATTTAATTTGTCAGTTAAAACCGTAGAGGCTGTTATAATTTTTAAAAATACTCTTTCCTAGAAATTACGCGATATTTTTATCTATTAGAAGAAAGACTAACGATGATTGAAAATGAAAGAACGATAAAAAGGATAAAGAAAAGAAGACTTTGGATTAGGGAGTAATTTTCGTAAAAAGGATAGGGTGTAATCTTGAATTATTTATCATTTACGATAAATCAAAATAATGCGCAATGTATTTCGATTTTTTGTCTTTTCTTTGGAAACAAAGGGAGATAAGAAAGAAATGAGAGAGAGAAAGAGAGAAAGAGGGAGAGAGAGAGGGGAGGAAGAGGAAGAGAAGCAGAATGTGAGTGAATGTGAAGGCTAAAGTTAGATAATAAGTATAGATGACTGTAAATAAGAAAGACAGACAGTCAGAAATAGCCAGACTGACACATGCTCATTTATATCGTATACTGTATATACACATATAGAATATATAAGTATCTACATATATACAGTATATATAAAGACATTCATATAAAGTACATACTAATATAAATTTATATACAGTATATATATATATATATATATACTGTATATATGTCTATAAACGAAAAGGAATAAACTGAGAAATTTACAACAATTGGACCAAAAAAAACGATAAAAAGAGGAAACCATCAATTTAATCTTGACTACGTCCTGAAAGACAATTGAAAAAAAATTCTCTTGATCAATTAATAATTTATCAACATAGGTTAGAGCAGCATCGAATCAATTTTAACAAGGTGGAAATAATTATTACTGCAAGAGAATTTTATTAATTACCATCATAATTAACATTCATTCTGCTAACGAAGCGAAACACAAGGACACGAG